CACTCTACTCCTGGACCTCAGAGGCAAAGATTCTGAGCTGGAAGTCTTGGATCCGTCTTCCCGTGGAAGATGGGGAGACCTGGGTCACCAGAGACATAGCCTGCCCCAGCATCTGCCGTGTAGAACCTTTGGTCGCCCCAGGACCCCCTGGATTAGAGAGGTCAGAGAGCTGGGGCAGGGACAAGCTGACAGGGGAGACATGGCCCTGTCAGCCATGGCCTGGTCCCTGGTTCCTGTCCCTTTGAGGACCGCAGCGCAAACTGGTGACAAGGCCACAGACCAGCAGGCAGGTGGCAGGTGCCTCATCCAAGCCAGAGGAGATGCCCACCCTGGGGCTCGGCCCCCCAAGGACAGACACGGGGAGGCAGTGCTGGCAGCACAGAGCTGTAGTGATGCCAGTGCCCCTGCCAGGCCCCCATCACAGCCCTGCTGCTGGCCTGGTCTACAGCTCACGGCAGGGACCTCCGAGCCCGGCAGCCACAGAGGGGTCCCCTCTCTCACGTGCTCACCCCCCGTCGGGCACCGTGCAGGACCTGGTGTGCAAGACTCATGGGGCCACTGTGGCCCTCAGAGACACCCATCTCCCAGGGGCACGTTGAGCTCCAAGGACTGAGGGCCTGGCTCGAAGGTCAGGGGCTCTCAGGAGGGACGGGACCCGACGTCTGAGTCTCAGGAGGAGCAGATGCGCTCACCTCCATCCACGCCCATGGGAATGGGCCAGGGGCCTACGCACAGAGCCATGGCCTGCAGGAAGGACAGAATGCCCAGGACACGGTCTCCCTGCACCTGGCAGCCCCACCTCCACCTGCCCAGCGTCTGCGCTCCCTTGTCCAGGTGGGAGCTGCTGTATCTCCCGTGGAGACCCGGGGCAGTCTGTCTGTCCTGAGGATGGGATGGTGGTGAGGATGCTCCTAGGTGCTTGGCCACACTGCCTGGCCCAGAGCTGGGGCAGAGGGCAAGGAAGAGCAGTGCCGAGACCTCGGCTCCACGTCTAAGGAGAGGAACCCCCGGCTGCTGCAGCCCTGGGGCCTGTCAGGAGCTGCCGCGGCTCTCCCCTCCTTAGACCCTGGTACAGAGCTGCACACAGCCAGCACCCATGCGTTATGGCTCATGCTGATGAAGCCTCCAGAACCCCAGGGGTGAAGCCACAGCCCCTCTGCACTCTCCCCTGACCAAGGAGGGGCCAAGGCATCAGTGTGAGTCCTTCCCCCCTCCTCTATGCACCTGCTCCATACCCTGCACACAGACACAAAGCCAGTGGACACCCTGGCTGTCTGGGGTGACCCTGCCCCACTGTGGGTGAGTCCCTCACCACCAAGAGGTCCTTCCACAGGTAGTCTTCTTGCTGCTGCAGATCATGTTTCTGGGCTTCTTTGGGTCTTGAACCTTGTAGAGCTACCCGGACTGGGCAGTAGTTACCTGTGCACAGGACAGAGGGGCCCGCACTGCCATGGCACATCCCCTGCACACAGAGGCCCCACAGATGAAAGGTCTCTGCAGGCTGAATCTCACAGTACCAACCCTTTCTCCCTCCCTTGCGCAGACAGCACCTGTCCCACCTGACAGCCTTCTCACCTTGGTCCCAGGAGCCGCCATGGACACCTCCTGCCCCGCTCTGCTGAGGGACGCGGGAGCCACTGGGGACACAGAGGGCTTGGGGGACCGCAGTCAGTCCCGCCCCAGGAAGTCCCCATCCAGGATGCGATTCTGGCCTCGGGATTCTGCTCCCTCTCCCGGGGCTCCCAGGAAGGGAGACGAGTGGTGCACAAATGAAAATGCAACAGCAGAAATCAAATGAACAGAAATCAAAACACAAAAATGAACAAACTCACTCTGCTCCCGTCACCAACAGAAAACATGAACTGTATCCACTACACCACACCAACAACGGAGACTGTTCTATGGAAGAAAATGTTAAAATGAGAAAACACAAAATGAACATGAATGGTGGCAGGAAACAAAATAAAATAGAAAAAGTACAAAGCAATCAAAATGGAAAAAGAAAAAACAAATTTGACCCAACAGGAGCCGCAGGATCCGATTCTTCCTCCGGATTCCTCTCCCTCTCCAGGGCTCCCCCAGGAAGGGTCAGCAGGGCTGACGTCTGGGAGACCCTGAGCCAGCAGCTGACACAGATCAGCTCTCATGGCTCAGATAACGTGAGCACAAAAGAAGATGAAACAAACAGAAATCAAATGAACAGAACTCAAAACACAAAATGGACAAAGTCAGCTCACATCACCAACAGAAAACAGGAACTAAATGAACTCAACTGGACTCACAATTGAGACTAACCCTATCAAATCAGTTAAAAGTGAGAAAACACAAAAAAGGAATAAATCATAAGAAAAAAAATTCATAAACCTTCACTGTAATAACAATCCAAGCAGATGAATCACAGTCTTATTAAAAAAAAAGGAAATAAAAATAAGAAAAAAAACTCAAAGTGAACAAAGGGAAACCCAAAAATGGAAGAAGTTATAAAGAACAACAACAAGCAAGAGAGAAGCCAATGAAAAAAGTGAAGAAAAAATCCAAACAGAAATGAAATATCCAAGGAAATCAATAAGAAAGGGAAAAAGAATACGAATACTGGAGGAAATCAAAATAAATAAAATAGAAAAAAGAACAAAATAATCAAAACAGAAAAAGAAAAAACAAATTGGACCAAAACAACAGCAGCTTGAAGAACAAAAACAAAACAAGAAAACAAACAGGCAGCTGTTCCCAGCCCCAGGTCCCCGGGACAGCACTTCCTGGGCTAATGACAGAACCCAGGCCCAGCCAAGGCTTTGTGCTGGCAGCGGGCATGACGTCACAATGGTGCCTTCTGATGTCAGAGCAGGAAACCGCAGCCGGTGCTGCCCCACGCTGGTTTGCACAGGAACCTTTCCACTTAAAAAAAAAAGTAAAGAGAAATTCTTCCTTAGGTTGAAGAGAGAGATATTAGTGTTTTGAGAAATTAAACCCTGTAGGATATTTCGAAACCTTTTCATTTCTAGTATTAGCATCTTTCATAATTTTGCCTTTTGCAGACTCAGTTTATCCACTCCTTTCTCTTCAACCCCTGAATGATCGCCTCAAACCATGGTGCAGCGTCACTGGCATCGCGACGCCACATCAAATGTTCTGTCACTCAAGTCAGCGGTGCTGTGACGGAGCTGTAAAGCCACGGCTCACGGGGCCTGCGTCCCGTACGAGTGCTGGTTCATGTCCCAGCTGCTGCACTTTTTTTTTTTTAAAGGGATTTATTTCTTTATTTATTCGAAGGCAGAGAGAGAAGGACAGAGAGAGGGAGACAGAGAAGGTCCCCATGTTAGCACCACAAACTCTGCACAGCAGGAGCCGCAGCAAACATGACTGACCTGGGCCATCCCACAGGCCACCAGTGTGCAACCTGGTGGGGAGTCCTTTTCCTACAGAGGCTGCAGGGGGGCCCCTGCAGGACCTGGAGTCCCGGATCTCAGGGGAGACCCCAGCACAGCTTTTGTCTGCCCTGAGGACTCGCCTATGGTCTAAAACACTGCTGGAGCTTCACAGCCATAACCTCACTCACTCTTGCCCCAGCCTGGGAGGCAGGATGACCACCACCATTTCCCAGCGTGGGGGGTGGGTCAGGTCCATACGGGATCAATATGGGACACCCAGGGAGGCAGCAGTCCCGGCCTGGGGTGGAGCCCATAGGCCAGAAAAGGGAAGACGGTCAGGAGCAACTACTGGAGTTCTCTGTGGGAGGGGCAGAGGACAAGCGCAGGGAGTGTCAGGTGCTCCTGGCCTGGCTGCTCCTGGGTCTCCCTGAGGACAAAGAAGTGGAGAGAGCCCCAAATTCAGTTCAAGGCTTCCCCCAGGGGAGGGACAGAGAGGCACAGAGAAGGGGCCAAGAAGGTCAGCTCAGCAGTGCCTGCTCCCTCCTGGGCCTGCACCCAGCACTGCCCAACAGCACCTCTCCAGGGACCCAGCAGGGGGCGCTCACCCCATGCAGCCAGTTCACATGGCAACCTGGGGCCTAGTACCCTGCCTCCCTGAGCCCTGGGCCCTGCATTCAGCCTGCCCCTGCCCTTGGGCCTGGCATCAGGGCTGGACATGGCCTGAGACCTGGTGCAAGATGTGAGGACAGAACCCTGACCCAGGGCCCCACGTCCCTCGCCAGAGTCCCTTTACCACTGGAAGGCCCCACTCTGCCACTGAGGGCCAGTGAGCATCTGCCACTTTCCTGACAGGGACAGCCCCAGGGCTCCAATCTCCCCCAACCACAGACACCGTGCAGTGTCCTCCCTTACACACGCCCACTCTGAAGTTCTAACTCGCTGGGTGCAAAGGACCAGGGGCAGAGGTGGCAGCAGATCCCTCCCTGGTTGCCTGGTCAGTGCCCAGGGCTGTGACCGCTGTTGGCCCTGTTCTTCCCCCTGCTCCACCCTCCTGGTGGGCGCTCACACTGGGCAGAGGTGGCTCTGCCTCTTGGGATGAGGTCAGTGCCGAGGGCAGGCGAGTCCTAGCTTCTGCGGTCACCCTGTGGTAGGTCAGCTGCTGAGCGTCTGTCCCCACAGGCTGTCACAGGATGGTGACCCTGATGGCAGGTGGTGGTGTTTCTGGAGGTGCCCCTGCTGAGGGTTCTGTCCTTGACTCAGACTTGTTCTGCCAACTATAGAGCTATGACTGGCATTGGCTGTTGAGGGCTCAGGGCACTGGGTCCATGTTCATTGCCGCCTGCCTGGGCTGAGCTCTGCCTTTGGAGTGAGCCCTGTTCTGATGGTCCCTGGGGCCCACAGCGCTGCCACTGGTGGGCTCGTGGTGAGCTGCAGGACCTGCTTCACCCACAGCCGCTGCTCCTGCTGCTCCAGGGAGGGCGTGCTGCAGCGCCCTGTCTGTCTGCCTTGTCTTTTCATGGGCCAGGGTCTGGGGACTCTGAGCCATGCCCCCACGCCACAGCCACAGGTCTGCCTCAGGGCTGGAGGGCCAACCCCAACCCGCCAGAGCGGTGGAGGTGCTGCCAGCGCCTCCTCACTGATGGACAGGGCCGTGTAGCTGCAGGGGCCGACATCGCTGTAGACTGCAGGATCCAATGCTGGCAGGGCCGGCTCGGGTCCTGGTGCTTCCTGAAGGCGGTGAACACGATGGTGGGGGCCTTCTGGGAAATGGGTGCCACATCCAACAAAGCAGAGAAACCCACGTGGAAGTGACAGCTCGTGGGCTCCCTACAGCCCGTTATGGCACTGAGCCCCAGGGTGCTGGGCTCCCCACTCCTGGTCACAGACGCCTCGGGCCAGGAATTCCCTGTGCTGAGCTATTTCCTGCACACATGAGTAGGTCTGACAGAGCCCGACGCCGCCCTGTGGACATGAGGACCCCGGGGGGCAGGGGCCAGCGTCAGCCTGGGCTACACGCCCCCTTAGTGTGCAGCAGTTCAGTGGACGTCAGTGCAAGGGGCAGCTCCCGGGTCTCTGTCCACCCAGCCACGTGGGCCCTCTTGGTTCTCACGGTCCACAGCAGGGATCCACAGAGGCTCTGAGGACGCCTGACTGAGGTCCTTGTCCCCCACCCACCTGGGAGCTTCCAGAACCAACAGAAACCCCAGCCCCGCCTCACTGGCTCATGTATGCCCAGCAAGGTCCCCAGAGGATTCAGAATCCGGTCCAGCCACAGTTCCCTGGGAGCCAAACACATGGCGCAAGAGAGCGGTGCAGGTAGAAGGGGTCTGTCAGGGGGAGGGTCTCACCTGTGACAGTGTCAGGCAAGTCCCGGGGGCGGCCGTCTGCCCATAGGAAACTAGGAGAGCTGGGAGCGGGCACAGACCCAGACCGCAGGACACAGTACCAGGGACCGAGCAGCCGCCGGGTTTTTCTCGGTCTCGGGCAACAACCGGGAGTCCCAGGCCACGGGTGTGAGTTGCAGAGTGGAAAAGCCACAGCACCGGGGGCTCTGAGCCCTGAGGGGGAGCACTGAGACGCGCAGGCTCCATGAGAGCCCCGAGCTGCCCCTGCCCTGCGGCCCTGTTCTCTCCGAGTTCTGGGTGGGCTGGGTGGTGCTGCCCACGGCGAGGGAAGATCCCCACGGTGCTGGAGACACTCATCTGGGCTCCACAGAAACTCACAGACACCCCGGGTCGCTCAGTCTTTCCCATCCAGGGGCAGGAGAGGGGCTGGCTCAGTTCCTGCAGGGGCTCTGAGGGTCCAAGCTGGGCCCGGCTCCCCCTGCCACCCCAGATATCCTCATTGCTGGTGCCCAGAAGAACCATCCCATCACAGTGGCCCGGGTCAACAAGGAGTCGCAGACCGAGATCCTAAAACAGGTCTATGCACTCAGACATTCTTAATTTAATAAAACGTCACCGAGATATCTCTTTTCTACCTCTGCACGGAAAAGCCTTATCAGGTGCTAAATAAAATTCAAGGAAGACATGGACTTGGACCAGGCACCTGCACTGGGCCCAAGACCCAACTCAGACAGCTTCATCCAGGCCCTGTGCTGTGGCGGTGGCACAAGGCCCTGTATCTAGTTCACTAATTAGCAATTCACTAGTTCAGCCGTGACAGCCCTGCAGGTTGGGGAGTGACTGGAGCCATGGCACTGATCTCTGCACCCACTTCCCGTGGTCCAGCAGTGCTGTGCACCTGTCCTGGATGAGCCACCTCAGAACCTGCTCCATTCCCAGAGCTGCCTGGTTCTTGTATCATTGTGTTGTACGATGCTCTTCTCAGATACACTCCACTCCATGTACTGGCCTAAGGACGTTCCTCTGTCACAGGTGGAGCTGTCTCCTCCACACTGAGCCCCTGGGCCCAGGGCTGGCAGCTGCTCCCGGGTGCTGACGCCCCGGCTCTGCCCCAGCTGCTCCCTGGGTGGGCAGGAATCAGCAGCCACCTGGGCCTGGGAGGAACCGCTCACTGGGGAGGGGCCTGGCTCTTCATCTCGGCCTCAGTTTCCCTGTTTGTGAAGGAGGGGCCAATGCCCACAGCCCAGGTCTGCAGGGGTGGAGCTGAGGCTGTGAATGCAAGCTGAGCCTGAGGCAGAGGCCCAGCTCCACAGGGAGCCAGGGAGCCAGTGGGGGAGGGGTGGGCACCCAGCACCAAGGCAGCCTAGGTCCAGGCTCACCTGTGCCCCTCACGCCTGTGGCCTCTGGGGCTCTGAGTACCCAGCAGTGCGGCTCTGTCAGTGGGAATCACCTGGCCGAGTCTCAGACACTGCACGTGGAAAGGTTCTTGGCCCAACCAACCCCAGCCTCTCCCAGCCAGGGGTTCTGGGGGCACCTGCAGAGGGCGGGGGCGTGTCTGAGCACATGCAGCCACTGCGGCCACAGACCCCGGGGCCTGGTGCTGCCACAACTTCTCCTGTGCCCAGAGAAGCCCCGACAGCTCTGTGGTATCTGAAGATCTCAACCTCAGCACCACAACTTTGCACACAGCACAAACCACAGCAAACTCAAGGGAGCAGGTCCGGCCCGTGGGCTGGCAGTTTGCAACCTGGTGTGTGCAAACTTCTCCTAAGACGGCAGGGGGACTCCTGCCTGCTCCTGGTGTCCCGGATGTCTGGGGAGATCCCAGCACGGCCTCTGTCCTGAGGACTCCTCAGATGTCTCATCCACTGCTGGGAGCTTCGCAGCCATAACCTCACTCACTCTGGCCCCAGCCCTGGGCGGCAGGGTGACCACCACCATCTCAGGGAGGGGGCCGCGGGTAAGGTCAGTGTGGGATGTGGGACACCCAGGAGAGGCAGGACTGCTGACCTGGGGTGGAGCCAAGAGGTCAGCAAAGGGAAGATGGCCACAGTAGGCACTGGGGCTTCCCTGTGTCAGGAGAACAAGAGGGAACTCTGGGAGGTGCAGGTGCTCCCGGCCTGGCTGCTCCTGGGTCTCCCTGAGGACAGAGAAGGTGAGAGAGAGCCCCGAATCAGGCTCGGGGCCTCCAACAGGGGAGAGACAGAGAGTCAAGGACAAGGGGCAAGGACAAAGGAAAGGCCTGGGGGGCACAGGAAGGAGCCACCTCCCCCAAATCCCTGGACCCACAGACGGCTGACAGCTTCCAGAACCTCGCCTAGGCTGGTGATGGCACCTAAGGACTCAGCACTACCCAGCAGCCAAGGGAGGTGGGAACTATTCTGGGTGCTTCCCGCGGCAGCCACACTGCAACCAGAGGCTCCTATTGCTCACACCCCCTTGACAGAGATGGAATCAGAGGCCAAGGGGCAGGGACACCAAGGTGGGCAGCAGCCGGCAGTGGAGCCAGGACACAGCCCAGGCCCTGGACTCGGTGTGGCTCCAAGCTGCCTCCTCCAGGCTCCCAGTGCTCCGATCCCCGTGTGAGGCCACAGGTGCCCAAAAACAACACTAAGTCCTTCATGTTTTTCCATTCACAATTTATTGATCTCATGGGTTTCTGTTAACTCATAAATCTGTTAACTCTAGGCACAGAGGCAGTAGTGCAGGGCAATCCATGGGCACCAACAGAGACAACGAAGTTCTTCCTAGGCAGCAGCTGCTCCCCGGGGATGGAGGAGCCAAGGGATCCAGTCCTTGGGGCAGCGAGGATGAGGGACCTTCGACTCCTCTACTGGAAGGGCGAGGATTCTGAAGCTGGGCGTCTCGGAGTCCATCTTCCCGTGAAAGATCGTGGTGACCTGGGCAGCCAGAGACACAGCTGAGCTGCAGCATCTGCCGTGTAGACCCGTTGGTGGCCCCAGGACCCTCCTGGAGTTGAGAGGTCAGAGGGCTTGGCCAGGGACAAGCTTACATGCGAGTAATGTGGCCTTGTCATGACATAACCTGGTCCCTGGTTCCTGTCGCTGTGGGGGAGTCCCTTACCACCAAGAGGTCCTTCCACAGGAAGTCTTCTTGCTGGTGCAGATCATGTTTCTGGGCTTCTTTGGATCCTAAACCTTGTAGAGCCACCCGGACTGGGCAGTAGTTACCTGTGCAGGGGAGAGAGGGGCCTGCACTGCCACCACCCCTCCCCTGCAGACATGGGAGACCCCAACAGAGTCCCCCGCAGGCAGAACCTCGCAGTAACAACCCTTTCTCCCACCCCCGTGCAGACAGCCCCTGTCCCACCTGACAGCCTTCTCACCTTGGTCCCAGGAGCCGCCATGGACACCTCCTGCCCCGCTCTGCTGAGGGACGCGGGAGCCACTGGGGACACAGAGGGCTTGGGAGACCGCAGTCAGTCCCGCCCCAGGAAGTCCCCATCCAGGATGCGATTCTGGCCTCGGGATTCTTCTCCCTCTCCCGGGGCTCCCAGGAAGGGAGACGAGTGGTGCACAAATGAAAATGCAACAACAGAAATCAAATGAACAGAAATCAAAACGCAAAAATGAACAAACTCACTCTGCTCCCATCACCAACAGAAAACATGAACCATATCAACTACGCCACACCAACAACGGAGACTGTTCTATGGAATAAAATGTTAAAATGAGAAAACTCAAAATGCATACGAATGGTGGCAGGAAACAAAATATAATAGAAAAAGTACAAAGCAATCAAAAATGGAAAAAGAAAAACAAATTTGACCAAACAGGAGCCGCAGGATGCAATTCTTCCTCTGGATTCCTCTCCCTCTCCAGGGCTCCCCCAGGAAGGGTCAGCAGGGCTGACGTCTGGGAGACCCGAGCCAGCAGCTGACACAGATCAGCTCTCCCGGCTCTGACTCCTTGAGCACAAACGAACATGAAACAAATAGAAATCAAATGAACAGAACTCAAAACACAAAATGGACAAACTCAGCTCACATCACCAACAGAAAACATGGACTAAATGAACTCAACTAGACTCACAACTGAGACTAACCCTGTCGAACCAGCTAAAAGAGAAAACACAAATAAATGAGTAATAAAGCATAAAGAAAAAAATCCCAAGAACCTGAACTATATAACAAGTAATGCAGATGGTCTCACGGTCTTATTTTAAAAAAAGGAATAAAAAAGAGAAAAAAAAAACACATTGTGAAAAAATAGAAACCCAACAATGGGAGAAAATATAAGAACAACCACCAACATGAGGAAAGCCAATGAAAAAGTGACAAGAAATCCAAATAAATGAAATATCCTAGGAAAATCAATAAGAAAGCGACAAGAGACTATAAATGTTGGAGGAAAAAAATAAACAAAATAAATAAGAAAACAAAATAATCAAAATGGAAAAAGAAAAAAACAAATTTGACTAATACAGCAGCAGGAGGAACATAAACCAAACAAGGGAAACACAGGCAGCTGTTCCCAGCCCCGGGTCACCGGGACAGCACTTCCTGGGCCAATGACAGAACCCAGGCCAAGCCAAGGCTTTGTGCAGGCAGAGGGCATGACGTCACAATGGCGCCCTCTGATGTCAGAGCAGGAAACCGCAGCAGGTGCTGCCCTCTGCTGGTTTGCACAGGAACCTTTCCACTTGAGTGAGACAAAGACTGCACAATTCTTGCTTAGGTTGAAGAGAGTGATATTAGTTTTTTGAGAAATTAAACCCTGTAGGATATTTTGAAACCTTTTCATTTCTAGTCTTAGCATCTTCCATAATTTTGCCTTTTGCAGACTCAATGTATCCACTCCTTTCTCTTCAACCCCTGAATGATCGCCTCAAACCATGGTGCAGCGTCCTGGCATTGCGACGCTACATCAAATGTTCTGTCACTCAAGTCAGCGGTGCTGTGACGGAGCTGTAAAGCCACGGCTCACGGGGCCTGCGTCCCGTACCAGTGTCTGTTCAGGTCCCAGCTGCTCACTTCTCTGTTTGTTTAAAAGGATTTATATATTTATTCGAAGGCAAATAGATGGAGAGGGCAGAGAGGGAGACAGAGGAGACAGAAATGTCAGCACCACTAACTCTGTACACAAAACCCACAGCAAACAGAACTGACCTGGCCCATATCACAGGACACAGTGTGCAACCTGGTGGGGAAACCTCTCCTACAGAGCCTGCAGGTGTGGTGGACTGAGAAGGCCAGGCCAAGATGGCCGCGGGCAACAGGCTGTGATTGGATGGCTTCAGAAACTGCCTGGCACAGGCTGTGATTGGTTAGGGCATAGACCGCCCCTTGACCGGATTGGCTGCCTTGGCTATAGAAGCTGTTGTAGCAACTGAAATAAACGAGTCTGCTGGCTGCCTCTCTCAGGCCTGCTCTCACCCGACTCCCGGGGTCTGTGTGGTGACTCCACGCCCTCTTGCCCCCACTGCGCTCTCCCTCCCAGAAACGAATCCACTGCAACATGCAGGGGGTGGGGGGCTCCTGCAAGATCTGGTGTCCCGGATATCGGGGGAGACTCCTGTTAGGAAACTGGCCCAGTTGGCCGCATGGCCCAGCTACCTGAGGCAGGCTCCACCCCCATCCTAATGGGATTGGCTGCTCCTGCTTCTCTGCCCGCCCTCAGGCAAAGTTTTAAAAGGGCCTGGTCCTGAACATGTGTTCTCTTGCCCCTTCTCTCCTGCTCTCTCTCAGTTGCTCTCTAGCCTCCTCCTCTGGTCTCTTGACTCTGCTCTCCGCTCTCCTCTCTCCTCTTCTCTGCTCTATCTTCTCTCTTTGCTAGCTCCCCTCCTCTCTGTTTCTCTCTCTTAGACTCTCTTTCTCTCTTTTTTCCTTCGCCACCCCTTCACTCCGGTCTGTAGGGTGTTCCCAATAAACCTTTTCCCTTACTCCGGTGTCCGGTGTGCTTTGCGATGGCTAACATTAAGATATAACAACCCCAGCACAGCCTCTGTCTGCCCTGAGGACTCGCCTATGGGCTCATCCACTGCTGGGAGCTTCGCAGCCATAACCTCACTCACTCTGGCCCCAGCCCTGGGCGGCAGTTTGACCACCACCATTTCCCAGCGAGGGGAGTGGTCAGGTCCATACAGGATCAATATGGGACACCCAGGGAGGCAGGAGTCCTGGGCTGGGGTGGAGCCAAGAGGTCAGTAAAGGGAAGATGGCCACAGTAGGCACTGGGGCTTCCCTGTGTAGGAGAACAAGAGGGAACTCCGGGAGGTGCAGGTGCTCCCGGCCTGGCTGCTCCTGGGTCTCCCTGAGGACAAAGAAGGGGAGAGAGAGCCCCAAATCAGGCTCAGGACTTCCAACACGGGAGGGACAGAGCCAAAGTGAAGGGTCAGGACAAAAGAAAGGCCAGTGGGGGTCACAGGAAGGAGCCAGCTCCCCCAAATCCCTGGACCCACAGAGGCTGACAGCTCCCAGAACCCCACCCAGGCTGCCCATGGCCCCTAAGGACCCAGCACCCCTCAGGAGCTCAGGACAGTTGGGAACTATTCTGGGTGCTTCCTGGGGTGGGGGGGCCACCCTCCAAGGCAGGGGCTCCTATTGCTCATGCAAGCTTGACAGAGCCTAGAGACAGAGCCCCAGGGGGTGGGAAACCAAGGTAGTAGCAGGCACTGGAGCTGGGACCCACCCAGGCCCAGGCGCAGCTCCAAGCTGCCTGTCCAGGCTCCAGCACTCTACTCCCCTTGTGTGACCACAAGTGCCCTTTATGGTCACTGAGTCCTGACAATTTTCCATGCACATTTCTCGACATGACATCTGTCATAAATTACAAACCAGGCAGGGACATCCGTGAGCACCCACACAGGGCTACAAGTTTTTCCCAGGCAGCAGCTGCTCCCCGGGGGACAGAGAAGCCATGGGGTCCAGTGCCTGGGGCAGTGAGGACGAGGCACACTCCACACGGGTCTCCAAGAGCAGCACCCACACGCCATCCAGGAGACTGATTCTGGGAGCTGACATCACCTGGTTCCTACAGTGGGAGTCCCCGGAGCCCTCAGAGCACTGAGCCCAGGGTGCTGGGCTCCCCACCTCCTGTCATGGACGCCTCGGGCCCAGGCGTGCCCTGCGCTGAGCAGTTTCCTGCACACACGTGCGGGTGCTGGCAGAGGCCGAGGCCGCCCCTCTGGAGATGAGCACCCTGGGGTGGGGGGCAGGAGTCAGCCAGGGCGGTGCTGTGTCTGCCCCCACCCTGGAGGAGCTGCAGCCTGCCAGGGCAGGACAACACGCCCACGGCCACAGCACACAGGACACACAGAAGACCTGTCCACCTCCCTCTCTCCACTGCCCGTGGCCCTGGCCCCTCCTGCCAGCCCTGGGCACAGGAGGCACAAGCACCAGGCCACCAGCTCAGCCCAGAGCTCACTCCTGGTCCTGCCCTCAGGGCGGCCCTGCACCTTGCAGACCCAGAAGGCACCCGTTCTCTGAGACCTCCCCATGTCCACGTGTGGGTGTCAGAGGGGACTGGAATTTGACGAGGCAGAACCTAACTGGGGCCTAATCAGTGGTCCTGCTGCCCTGCCCCAAGAGGACACCCTCAGCCCACGCCTGCTCCTAGCAATGCCCATGCTCACAACTCATGAAATAGCCACACCACCGCAAGACCCAGACGCAACCTGTCCTGGGACCCAGGTGACTCAATATAAAATATTCCTAGTGCTTAACACCTAAATCTCCCCGGGGACATGCCCAGACTTCTCCTTCCACCCAGCAGCTGGTTCTAATCCCAGGGCGAGGGTGGAAGGAGCCGCCTGCTACCACACCCCTAAGTATGTAGCTAGTCAGTGGATGCCTGTGCAGGGGGCAGCTCCCAGGTCTCCATCCACCCAGCCACCTGGGCCCTCTTGGTTCTCACGGTCCAGAGCAGGGATCCACAGAGGCTCTGAGGACGCCTGACTGAGGTCCTTGTCCCCCACCCACCTGGGAGCTTTAGAACCACAGAAACCCAACCCCGTCTCTCCCCACCTCTCTACCCAACAATGTTCCCCAGAGGATTCAAAATCTGGTCCAGCCAGGGTGTCCAAGTAGCCAAACACATGGCGCAAGAGGTGGTGCAGGGGAAGGGGTCTGTCACAGGGAGGGGCTCACCTGTAATGGGGGCTGCCAAGTCCCAGGGGTGGCTGTCTGCTAAGTAGGAAACCAGGAGAGCTGGGAGCGGGCACAGACCAAGTCCGCAGGACCCTGCACAAGGAGTCGCCAGGGTTCTTGGCTTCAGGCTGCAGCCGGGAGTCGAGGTCATGGGTGTGAGTTGCAGAGTGGAAAAGCCACAGCACCGGGGGCTCTGAGCCTGAGGGGGGAGCACTGAGACACGCAGGCTCCATGAGAGCCCCAACCCCACGCTGCCCTGCGGCCCTGTTCTCTCCGAGTTCTGGGCGGGCTGGGTGGTGCTGCCCACAGCGAGGGTGGGTCCCTAAGGTGCTGGAGGCACTCATCTGGGCTCCACAGAAACTCACAGACACCCCGGGTGCTCAGTCTTTCCCATCCAGGGGCAGGAGAGGGGGGGCTCAGCACCTGCCGAGTTCTAAGCCTCCACCCTGGGCCCGGCTCCCCCTGCCTGCCCAGATCCAGTCATTGGTGATGCCCGGAACAACTGTCCCAGGACAGTGGCCAGCGTCAACAAGGAGTCACAGAAGCTAGATCCTAAAACACAGCTTTGTGTTTGCACGTTGATAATTCAATTAAACATCACTAGCCACCTCTTTCTACCTCCAGGAGGAAGAACAAGGACACCATGGGAAGCCTTCTCAGGTGCTAAAAAATTTCACAGGAAAGAAGTCCTCAGAACCTGATTCTGATGCGTGAATCACTTCTGTATCATGATGCTCTTCTCAGATACACTCCACTCCATGTACAGGCCTA